TTGGGAATGTTCCCAGAAATTTCGAGGGTGTTGCTCCACACGCACTAGAAACTTCAGGCCATACGCCCCCAACGAACTTTCCACTCAGTCTTTGGAGTGTTGCACCTGGGAGTTTAAACTACAGCTTCGGGGTTGTTGCACCATAATCACGATAATCCAGTCTCTGGGGTGCTGCACCTTAGGGGTGTGCACCTTCAAGTTTGAAGTTCAGTCTCCCAGAGGCCCCACAATCTTCCCCTCAACGAGTCTCACGACGGCCTCACCTGCTCAAAGACTGGCGCGTTGTCGTTCACATCAGTGATACCGATCTCAACCAAAGCTGAGCTCTTCCTCGGTGGATCTCCGTTGTCGGTGGCGAAAACATCGAGCCTGAAATATTCAGATGTTGACGACTAGGGTGAAACAAACTGAAGGGAGCTACGAGAGTGGGACCAATGCATACCTTATCAACGCCAGGGTCTCTCTGTCAAGTGGAGCTGCTGTCTGGATCACCCCGGATCGAGTGTTGATCGAGAGCAGATCGTGTCCCTCGCCTTCTGCCAGCGAGTAGACGATCTCACCATTGGCTCCAGCGTCAAGATCTCTTGCAAAAACTGACAACACAGTGGTTCCGATCTGAAATAAAGGGAAACATAATTGGCAGTTATCAGCATTTTTGGAATACGCCGTGCATTCGACTCCCATTGGAAAAAGCACAGTTGAATCAAGATAAGGCACTGTTCGACCTGGGGGAGGACATCTAGCACTTTTGCCAATTTTTTTGCTAGTTCCTTTTGCAAAACACGTCGTTACAGGAGTGTACAGGTCTTCACAGAAGTCATCAATGATGAACAGGAACCAGCAAAGTACCCCTTACCTTAAAGCCATCGGGGACAGAAGTTCTACTTTCTCAAGGAGCTTGTAATCGGTCGCACAATTCTGGAGGATTCAGGGATTGGTTGGTGTCAACAAGATTTGATCTCACGTACTTTGCGGGGCGATGTTTTTTGCCCACTGCGTCACCCCTGCTCTAAAGGGCAAACGCAGGTGGGAAGTGCCTCCACAACTAAAGTTGGTGGCGATGCCGAAGTTCTATAACTATTTCAAATTGCTGAAACTGATAACGTGTTGCTGACAACTTTTATCCACTCCCCACCTCCGCTCGACAACAAAATTTGGGAAAAAAAAACTAGAAAATCTCCAGGAAATTCCAGAAAACTGGAAAAGTGGCAAGAAGTTGGGAAAATCTAGGAACGAGGTAAGTGAGTGGAGGCCGACCGTATGAAAGTAGGGAATCAGGGGAGGGCGGTCACATTCTCCAAAAATTTTCCCCAGCGGCCAGGACGTGCCCTGAGCACGGAAGAATATGTGCCCCTTAGCAAACGCTGCAAAGGGCCTTTCCCAACCGGGCAGCGCCTAAAC